GCTGCTATGAACACTGGTGTACAAATCCCAGTTTGTCCCTCAGTTCTCATATTCTCAGAATATATTCCAAGTAGTGGAATAGTTGGGTCATATGGAATTCCTATGTTTGTTCAGCTTTTTGAGGCAGTGCCTAACTGCCTTCCAGAATGGTTGCACCATTTTACAATCCTGTCAACAATGTATAAGAGTTCCTTTCTCACCACATCCTCTCCAGCATTTATTACATGCTACCCTGTTAAACTTTGTCACTCTTACTGGAGTGAGATGGTACCTCATTGTGGTTTTGATTTCAAGCATTTCTTCATGTGTCTGTTTGCCATTCGAATATCTTCCTCCGAGAAAGTTCTTTCCATGTCTTGTGCCCATTTTGTAATTGGGTTTTCTCAGTCTTTTTCTTGTGGAGGCCCAGGAGTATTCTGTAAACTTTTGTATAAGACTCTTGTCTGAGATGGAATTACTAAATGTTTGTTCCCAGTCTGTAGGTTTTCTTTTCACCCTGTTGGAAAAAGTTTTTGATGTGCATAGAGATTCAATCTTCAGAAGGTCCCATGTATCAATTTTATCTTCTTTAGATTGTGCATTTCTGGTTGTATTTGGCAGGCTCTTTATACCTTGGACTAGTGCTTCTAAGCTTGATGCCAGTTTGTATCTTAAGAACATTACGGTTTTGGGCTTTACTCCCAGGTCTCTGATATACCTTGTGTTGATTTTTTTTGTATGGTGTGAGATGTGGATCCTGTTTCAGCGTTCTGCAAGTGGAAGTCCAGTTTTGCCAGCACCATTTGTTGAAGAAGTTATCATTTCTCCATTTGATAGCTTTGATTTCCTTGTCGAATATCAGTTGACCACTAGATATTCTTGCCACTAGAATGTAACCATTTGCACCATCCAGGGATTCCTTGTCATACCACATCTCAAAAAAGTGATTTGGAGGTTTGATTTGTTAAAAGTATAATCACCAAAAAGATTCAGAGCATGCCAGAAGTTTTTTAAAAGGGATACATGATTAGGTATTATTGTCAGGACAGACTAAGCTTTTCATTAGATGATGCACAAATGGTAAAAGGCCACTGGACACATTGGAAGAATTTCATTCACAGGTCACTATTTCCAATCGTGTGATCCTAATCTCCCTTATTCCTGTCTACTTATTGCTTTAAGGATCACTTTGTAATAGTGACTCTTATACAGAGTGTCTTTCCTGAAAGGCTGTGTACATAGTTCATATGAATAAAAGAAAGTTTGATGTGGAAATACAAGGCACCAGTTCTTACTCTGATAATGAAAAAAACTACAGAGTAGAGGTTTGTTGGGAGTCAGTAAGAGAAGAAGTCAGGCAAGTAATGACTTGAATTGCTTTGGACAGAGGAAACCATACTCTGGATTCTTCAGTTTCTCTTTTGTATAATTACAGATTATAATACTCTTTATGTTCTGAAAATTCTTTGCATTTTTTAGTGAGAGAATGTTATCATGCTCAAGAAGATTGCTTGAGCTGTATTCCTACACAGTTCCCAGTTCTCTGTTCTGTGTAATCACAGGAAGGTTCCCAGACCTCCAAATGGAAGTTACATTGACAGGAATTATACTGGTATGTTTATTCGATTTTCAGATGCATAGCAAGCAACTGACAAGATAACAGGTTGGGTCAGGCATACCTTAGTCTTTAAATTGACATTCATTGTTATTTAGCACTCAGAAGAGATCACTGAAAGTAGATTTTCCTAATGCAACCTGTCTTTTGATTTCTTGACTGCTGGTACTAAAGATGTTAACTATGGTTCCAACAAAGAAGAACTTGTTGACAGCGTCAACCTTTTCTCTAATTGTTGTGTTATTGTCTATTGGCTTAGTGGTGAGAATTTTTGTCTTCTTGACATTGAGTTGTAAATCCATATTGAAGGCTGTAGTTTTTGATATTCTACATCAAGTGCTTTAAGATCTTCTCACTTTCAGTGAGCAAGATTGTTGTATATTGAAGGTTGATAAATATTACTTGGAGCCTGATGGCACATTCTTTTTCATAAAGTTCAATTTCTCAAAATTATTTATTCAACATATAGATTGAATAGGTATGGAGATAGGAAATATACTTGATGCACATCTTTCTTTATTTTAAACCACTATTCCTTTTCTCTGTTCAGACATGGTTTCTTGGTCAAGATCTAGATTTCACATAGCACAATTAAGGGTTCTGAGATTCCCATTCTTCTCAATGTTAATCATAATTAGTTGTGACTCACATAAGTCATATGCCTTTACATAGCCAATAAAACACAGACGGACATTCTTATGATATTTTTGCTTTCTGCTAGTATCTATCTGACATCAGCAATGCTATTCCCAGCTGTTAAATCCTTCTTGATTTCTTGCTATGCATTTGAAAGGTGGACAATAACTAAGGAATATAGAAGTATCTATGTCTTTGAGTTGTAGTGTTGGAGAAGATTATTAAATAGCCCATGGACTGTCAAAAGAACAAACAGATCTGCCCTGGAGAAAGTTAAATCAGGATTCTCTTTGGAGAGAATGATGTTGAAACTCCATCTAATGTAATTTTGCTATATGGTTGTTACTGTTATGTGCCATCTAGTCACCTGCAATTCATAGTGGCCCTGTATAAAACAGCTCTGAAACCTGCCCAATCCTGTCTCACTGACTCCACCACACCTAATCCCATTGTCCCAGTTATCATGTCATTCGATCTCATCCAAAGTCTTCCTCTCTTGCACTGTCTCTCCATCCTTCCAATTATAATGTCCTTCCAAGGACTGGTACATCCTGGCTACATACCCAAAGTATGTGAGACAAAGCTTCAAAATTCTTGCCTCCAAGGAGAAACTTGTTTTCACCTTCCCCACGACAGACCTATTTGTTCTCTTGGCGGTCCATTGTATGTTTAATACTCTCCTCGAACACCACAATTCAAAGGTATCAATTCTTCTTCTGTCATCCTTAGTCATTGTCCAGCTCTCTGATGCATGACATGTAATTGTGAAGACCATGGCCTGGATCAGGCACACCTTAGTCTATAGACTGACATCACTGCTCCTCAGCACTCTGGAGAAGTCCTTGTCAGCAGACTTTCCTAATGCAATTCATTATTTGATATTCTGGCTGCTGGTCCCCAGAATATAGACTGTGGAGCAGAAAAAGCTGAAATTGTTAACAACCTCAATCTCTTCTCCCTCTATCATGGTGCTGTCAATTAGCCCAATGATAAGAATCTTTGTCTTCTTGATGTTGTTTCAGTCCATATTAAACACTATAGTCCTTGATCTTCTGCAGCAAATGCTTCAGATCCTCCTCAATTTCAGCAAGCAAGGTTGTACCATCTGCATTACACAGGTTGTTGATGAGTCTTCCATCAATCCTGATGCCACATTCCTCTTTACAACATCCAGCCTCTCAAATGATCTGTTCCACATATAGTTTTAAAAGGCACAGAGACAGGGCCTATTTCTGATGCACTCCTTTGCTAATTTTTAACATTCAGTGTTTTCTTGCTCTGTTCTGATGACTGCCTCCTGGCCCAAGAATAGGTTTCACATAAGCATAATCAAGCATTCTGAGATTCCCATTCTTTTCAAGGTCAGTCACAATTTGTTGTGATCTACACAGTCAAATGACTTTGCATAGTCAATAAAGGTCAGCTAGATATTCCAGTGGTACCCTTTGCTTTCAGCCAAGATCCATTTGACATTGGTGGTAATAGCTCTAGTGCCATGGCCTCTTCTAAACCCAGCTTGCATGGCATGTTGTTAGAAGGGGTCAGTCATTGGAGAGACACATCATGTTTGGGAAGATGGAGCGTTACTCTAAGAGAGGAAGACCTTCAATGAAGTGGATTGACATAGAAACTGCAACAGTGGACTCAAGTGTGTTGCAGATTGTGAGGATGGCACAGAATAGGGCAGGGGACAGATTCAACAGCATAGTGAATGTCACACCAGCAGACAGCCCTGAGGAGTCTGGTAACCCCTTACTTATCTATTAGTAAGAAAAAGCAGGGCTAACTTACCTTTGACATCGAGTGTCATCACCTGACTGAGCTGAGCACCAACACTATTGTTGGCCTCACAAGAGTAGCTTCCAGAATGTTCTTCTGTCAGAGAGAGGTTGAAGAATGCTCCTTTTCTAGAAAGGACTAAAATATTTGCCAGGGTGACATATTCGTGGTGAAACTTATATAAGATTGGAGGAGATCCCTTCTGAACTTCACAGTGAAGCTGCATAATATCTCCAACAGCAGCTTGGGTTCTAGGAGTCCAGAGAGTAAGGACAGGACGAGACACTGGAACTGGAAGGGGAACATTAGTTTACCATTAATTTCTGTCATTTAAATATTGTTGTTGATTGTCTTGGAGTCGAGCATGACTGATAGCAACTCTATAAACAAAAGACCTGAAACCTTTCTATAACTATCAACATTTCTCAAAGTTCATAGAGTTTCTGGAGCACGTTGTTTAGGAAGTGGATGCCACTCCTGCTTCCAAACTGCAGTGAGGGTTCTGGGAGGAGGGGCAGAGACGGTGGTCCATTACCGGCTTGCCTCCTCCTGCTCTCATCCCTCTATATTCCTTTTATTAAAGACCAAAGTGAATTACTCAATAAAGTTTTTCTGACCCTATATTTTTCTCTCTACCTATTTATTTGTACAATGAGAAAATCACTGGAGAAATTGGACTTTATGAAGAAGAATGTAGAGTCAGGATATAACAATAATCTGTGTTATGCATATGACACTACCTTGCTTGTGGTCGCAAAGAATACTTGAAACATCTACTGGAGAAAATAAAAGACAAAATTCCTCACTACTGGGCCAATAGATGACATCATGATAGATGAAGAAAAGATTGAAGTTGCCAACCATTTTCATCCTACATGGATCCACAATCAATACCCTTGGTATCAGCAGTCAGGAAATCAGGAGACATATTTTATTGTACATTTCTGCTGTCAAGGACCTCTCCAAATTACTGAGGAACAATGATGTAATTTTAGATGACTAAGGTGTCCTGATTGAGGCTATAGGTTTTTCAGTCACTTGCTATGCATCTGAGAGCAGCACAGTTAAAAAGGGTGACAAAGAAGAGCTGAGGCCTTTGAGCTGTGGTGTTGGAGAAAAGTACTGAATATTCCATGGACAGCCAAGAGAACAAAGATCATGAGAGAAAGTGCAGCCATAATGCCCCTTGGAGAAAAGGATGACAAAACCTCATCTCACATACTTTGGGAATATTGCTAGGAGAGGCTATTCCTTAGAGAGGGACATCATGCTTAGAAAAGCGGAGGGTCAGTGAAAAAAAGAAAGATCCTCAATGAAATGAATTGATACAGTGATTGTATTAATAGTCTCAAGAATGTCAGAGATGAAGAGGATGGCACAGGATAGGCCAAAGTTCAGATTTGCCATTCATACAGTCACTATGAATCGTAATCACTGGTTGATATAATGTCCATACACTAAAAGTCTATGTGACCCACCAATGAAATTAGACAGATTGTTAATAATGCAAATATGATTCATGGAACTCGTAAGAGGTGGATCATGCAAATACTCTGTATGAACCCCTGCAAGGAGATTAGTCAGTATTGTCAATCTAGTAGACTTAAAGAGAGACAATCTCAGAGCAGAGAAGAATGACCTCATTACAGAAATAAATAAACAAATAAAAATGTCAGGAGTGTAGCACATTCTTTGTACGAGGTTCAGATTCTTGTATTGAGGATCTCCTAGTTTACAGCCATACCACCCTGTACACACCCAATCTCCTCTGATCTCAGAAGCTGAGCAGGGTTGGGCCTGATTAGTACTTGGATGGAAGGATCTCCTAGACCAAAAAATACATAGTAAAAAAACTGTGACAGTAAAATGGTGAGACCTGGCATTCGATGAATGGCAGCAGCAGAATCAGGAAACCAACAGAACTGAGGTGCTGGGCTTTTTAGCTTATAGAGTGATTTGGCTGCAGTGTTCAAATCCATGAAGTCAAATACGTTGAGCAGGAGGCTTATTGGTGTAGTAGGGTACTGTTAGGCATATTAATGAACCTAATGAGTTTTCCTGCAGGAGAAGGATAGGCAATCTTCCCTTGTGCAATGACTGCCTCTGAAAACCCATTGAAGGGTCAGCAATGTGTTGGTTCCAACTTGATAGCAAACAACAGCAACAGCAACAACAACAACAACAACGAGTTTTCCCTCTTCTGACATCCATTTTACTTTATTTCTCTCCTATCTTTGTAATGGCATTTTGCTTACTTCACCAATAATATCTTAGATACCAATCTTTGATATCAATGTTCAATGTGACAAATCTATTCTTTAGCTGAGTGTTAAGTTTATTTGAGATAGATGCAGGTTGGTATTTTGATTTTCATGGACTTATTTTCATTTTATTCACCTTCAATTTGAATTTGCACATGAGTAATTAAGTAAGTAAATGAGTAATTGATGGTCTGTTCCAAAGTTAACACCTAGTCTGGTTTTGATTACTGATACTGAACTTCTCCGTTTTATTTTTCCACAGATGTTGTCAATCTTATTCCTCTATAGCCCATCAGATGAAGTCCAAGTGTATAAATACTGTTCATGTTTTTTAGAAATTATATTTACAGTTAAAAAAGTATTGATTATAAAAAATTCTATCATTAAATCTCTACCTTCAGTTTTGTCACCAATGCCTTATTTTCCAACTACTAGTTCTTCTTTGTTTCCAATTTTTGCATTGCAGTAATTAATTATTATTAATAAATTTGATTGCATGTTTGCATCAAATTCAGACAACAAAAGTTGGTAGAATTTCTTAATTTCTTCATGTTTGGGGCATATATTTGAATAATAGTTATATTAACAAGCCTTCAATATATGTGTACTGAATAATATCCTATCACACACAGCATTGTATTCCAGGACAGATTCATCCTGAAGAGGGTTAAACTGGGCTGCTCCTTGGAGGCAAGGATTCTGAGGCTTTGTCTGCTATACTTTGGACATGTTGTAAGGAGGGACCGATCCTTGGAGAGGGACATCATGCTTGGGAGGGTGGAGGGACAGCGCAGGAGGGGAAGACTCTCTATGAGGTGGACTGATTCAGTGACTGGGATAATCGGGATGGGAGTGTCAGAGACAGTGCGATTGGCACAGGACAGAGCAGAGTTTAGGGCTGTTGTCCATAGGGTTGCTATGAGTCACAAGCGACTTGATGGCACATAACAACAACAAGAAGAGTAGAAGAAAGGAAAGACCAAAATGGTCATCTTCAAAGAAGAGACTTTGAAATTTACACTAGAATATTTTGTTATTGTTGTTGGATGTCTAATACAACTCATAGGAACACTATGAACAATGGATCTGAATCCTGCCCTATGTTCCATCCTCATAATCTTTAATATACTGGAGCCTGTTGTTACAGACACGGGGTGAGATCATCTTTTTGAGGGTCTTTCTTCTTTTTCATTGACCCTCTACTTTTCAAAGTATGATGTCTTTTTCCAAGGAGTGACACTTCCTAATAAAATGCCCAAAGTCAATGAGAAAAAATTTCACCATCATTACCTCTAAGGAGCACCCTCTTGCACTTTTCCCAAGACATATTTGTTTTTCTGGTAGGAAATGGGCTATTCATTACTCTTCTCCAACACCACAACACAAGGCATCATCTTCTGTCATCTTTATTTAACATGTAGAGGCCAAAACAAAGAGAAGAAATGCTAAAGAAAGATACACAAAAGTTTTTTGTTTTTTTCAAAAAACAGCTTGAGAACACATATAATTATGATAAAATAGGCAAAGGAATGAAATTAGAAAATCAAAAGGGAAAAACATACTTGGCATTTATCAAGTTGAAAGAACTGGAGCACAAATTCAGGCATCTAGTTGTAAGACAGAAATATTCTATAACCAAACTCTTGAATAATGTGAAAAATGATGAAAGGAACTCACAGAGTCACTGTACTAAAAGTAATTATTCCAAATAATTTTTGGAAGTAGCACATGGTCAAGAACAAATTATAATCAATGAAGACTTTCAAGCCACAGCAAAGGCTTTGGCAAAAAATTAGGTTCCAGGAGTGGATGGAATACCAAGGAGGTGTTTCAGCAAATAGATGAAGCCCTGGACATGTTCATCAGTCTCTGTCAAGATACTTGGAAGAGAGCTACCTGCCCAACTCACTGTAAGAGATCCATCTTTGTTCCTAGTCCATAAAAAGATGACCCAACAGAATCTGGAAATGATCAGATAATATTTACATCAATGCAAGAAAAATTTTGCTGAATGTTATTAAAAAACCGTTGAAAAAGTAAATCAACAGGGAATTTCCAGAAATTCAAATTAGATTCAGAAAGCTCATGGTACAAGGGATATCCTTGGCTACATCTTGGTTGAAAGCAGAGAATATCAGAAAGATGTTTATTTGTGCTTTATTAACTAAGCAAAGGCTTTAGACTGCATGAATCATAACAAATTAGGGGAAATACTGAGATAAATGGGAATCCCAGAACACTTAATTATGTTCTGTGAAATCTATACATAGATCAAGAAGCAGCTGCATGATTTTAAATCAGGAAAGGTATTATTCTTTCTCCATATCTGTTCAATCTGCACATTGAGCTAATTAATAATCCAAGATGCTGTACTCTATGATGAGGAATGTGGAATTAGGATTGGAGTGACTCATGATGTTATATTGTGAAGATAAGAGTATCTTAACTTGCTTGAAGCACTTATTGAAGGAGCTGTAATAGGAATTACATCTCAACATCAAGAAAACAGAAATCAACACCACTGGATTTATAGGCAATATCATGATAGATGGAGAAAAGATTGAAATTATCAAGGATTTCATTTTACTTGAAACCACAATCATTACCCATGGTAGCAGCAATCTAGATATCAAAAGGCACAATACATTGGGCAAATCTGCCATCAATGACCTCTTTTAAAGTGCAAAAGAGCAAGGATATTAGTTTAGACACCTGAATACAGCCATGGTCGTTTTTAGTTGCTTCATTTGCATGTGAAAGTTGGACAATGAATAAGGAAGTTACAAGAATCGAGGTCTTTGAATTTTGAAGTTGGCAAAAAGTATTTACAATGAACTATTAAAAAAAACCCAAAACAACAAAACCCAAAACAATCCCAAACAAATTTGTCTTGAAGGAAGTGTAATCATTGTTTTCCTTAGAGACAAAGGTGATAAAACTTCACCTCACAGACTATGAGCAAGTTGTCAGGAGATGCTGTTGTTGTTGTTGTTGTTGTTATGTGCCGTCGAGTCGCGACTCATAGCGACCCTATGTACAACAGCCCTAAACCCTGCTCTATCCTGTGCCAATTGCACTGCCTCTGACACACCTATCCCGATTACCCCAGTCACTGAATCAATCCACCTCATAGAGGGTCTTCCCCTCCTGCGCTGTCCCTCTACTCTACCCAGCATGATGTCCCTCTCTAAAGACCTGTCTCTCAATCAGGCTGGACAAAGTATGTCAAAAAGAAGACCTTAGATGAGATAGATTGGCAAAAGGACTGCCAGGATGGGCTGGAGCATGGCGGAGATTTCCAAGATGGGGCTGACTAGAGCAAAGTTTCAATCTGTTGTTCATAGGGTTGCTATGAGTCCTAGTTAACAGCACCTAACAGTAGAACTAGTTCAGCATGAACAATGAGTAGGAAAGCAAACACATATAGTTAAATAGGTGGAGTGCAGTGGTTGATATAGACAAGACTTAGTGATAAATTGCCTATAGAGATTGTCTATAATTTTTTAAAATAAAGAGTGAGGGACATACAAAGAGATTGCCTTAGTCCCTGTAATAATGGACAGAGAAAACCATACCTATGACTCTATACACTGAACTTTGTAACTTTTTGATCATTGCTAAACAAAATATTATTTCTCTTTTGAAAAGTTTTCACCCCTACTTTTTGGGTTATAGTTTTTGAAGATTGTTGCTACAAGGAAAGGTAAAACAAAGAAGGAATAACCTCCATTTCCTAAAATTGGGAAGTGGGAAAGACAGTGCTACTGCTTGGGAAGACCCATTTACCTGTGACGTTAAGTGACACTGTGTAACTAAGTTGGGGTCCCAAGCCATTGTCGGCTGTACAGTGGTAGTTCCCAGAATGCTTTTCTGTCAGCAAAAGGTGGAAGGACCCTCCTCTTCCAAAGGATGTTGGCATGTGCTTCAGGATGACATTCTCATGATAGAATTGATATATGATGGGGGAAGAGCCCCTCTGGGTTTCACAGTGGAGCTCCACCATGTCGCCTTCCACAGCCTGGGTCTGGGGGGTTCTGAATGTGAGGACTGGGAGGGACACTGGAACTGAGGAAGAGAGTAAGTTAGTAGATCCCACTATAACTGTTTTAACTAAAAAAAAAAAAGTATATAATTTGACCCTTCCAAAGAGGGGGAAAAATAAATATAGAGGCATCACATTAAAAGGAAAACAAGTTAAAAATCAAACACTGTTGTTGTTGTTGTTAGGTACCGTTGAGTCGTAGACGACTCATAGCGACCCTATGAACAAAAGACTTGAGTACTGTTCATAGAGTTTCCTGAGGCAAGCCATTTCAGAAATGGATGCCACTCCTGCTTTCAAGCTTGTTTTAATCTGGATGCTGCACCAAACACTGTTCACCTTGGGTAGCCATTATGACATTGGGAACATCAATGTCATAGTGCTTCACATCACAGCAACCACGAGTTACCGCCATACAGCAATGCACAGAGTTGCATAACATAAAAAAAAAAATTCAAAGTAATTCCATATGCTTTATTTCTGTTTTCTGGGGATCACTTCTGCTGATTATTTAGTGTTATTTTCTAGATCTTTCTAATGTAAAAATACACACACTTATCACACACATATATAGGGAAAAGCCACACATGCTTGGGGTCACAATATCCCACTGATCTACAAGCTGCTTTATCTTCCTCATAATAGCAAAGGTATTTTCTATGGCCTTACTTAGAGACCTATTCCATTTATTTCTTTTTTTGTAAATTAACTTCGTTGATGCATAATTTATATATAATAAAATGCAGGGCCTTTAAATGTGATGATTTTTTAATAAATTTTACCTGGTTATTTCTAGCAACAGCAAAGCATTTTTTTGCATAAATTTATCATAAAGCATTTAACCAGTTTTCTAGTAATAGAAGGTTAGATTAATTTTAAAAACATATATTGCATTAAACAACCTTATGGATGCATCATTGAATATATTGTGTATGCATTTTTTAGGATAAATTATTAGAATTTCTGGAATAAGAAATATAATTTTAAATGATTATATATAATACCAAATTATTCTTCAATTTACATTTGTCCTGATGGTATGTATGTAGAATTTTCTACTTCCCTGTTTCCTGGCCTATTACATCCTACAGATGCTGCTATTGTTATTGTTATATACTGTCAAGTGAAAACAGACTCATAGCTGAGACTCCAAAGGGTTTTCAGAGACATTAAATTGCACAGAAAGAGATTAACCTTCTTTCTCCCAGGGAGCAGCTAATGGATTTTAACTGTGTGCCTTTGGATTAGCAGCATATCTCCTTACTCTTATGTCACCAGGGCACCCTATAAATACGGTTGTTGTTGCGTACCATAGAGTTGGAACTGACCTATAGCTGACCCTTCTGTGGGTTTTCAGAGGCAGTTAATCACACAGGAAGAGATTATCTATGGCCTCAAACCACATGCTTTCAGGATTACAGTACAGCTTCTTGCCACTAAACCACCAGAGTTGCCAAGTTTATTTTCATTTAATTATCCTAGTTCCCTGGTCTGGAACTTCTTTTTCTAGTTTTCCCATTTGAAGTGTTCAATTATTCTATGTGATGTGACCTCTGATTTGTACTTTGTTGCATGTTGTACTGTTAATCAAAAGGACACATTTTTCCAGTGGCTCAAATTCTTCAGCAGGGCTCCTTAGGAGAAAGAAGGGCAATCCCTTCCCAGGAAGATTTATAACTTTGGAAAACCAATAGAAAGTCCCTATAAATTGGAATAGACTCCATGGCAGTGGGTCTTTTTGACAATCTACTAATCCATTTTTCTTGGGCTAGTAGTAAACTTTAGTCCACCAATATTATTTTTAGTCAGAAATAATTTATAAATGGACATACTGCAATTAATTTTTATAAATTCTCAGGTCACTTTGTTTTTATTCCCCATTGGGCAGCTCTAGTGACCTCGTAGGTAAAGGAGTTGTGCAGCTAAAGCAAAAGCATCACCTCTCAGCTGGTTTTAATCCACCAACCGTTTTGTGAGGGAAATGAAGGGCAATCTCCTCTTCTTGTGCTATTTACACCCTCTGAAAATCTGTTGAAGGGTCAACTATGAGTAGGTTCCCAGTCTACAGCAATGCGCTACAGACTCCTGCAAGGGTGAGAGGGATTTGGGACAGAGATAATGAGTAATTGACAGAAGTTTAGGATTTACTGGTAACAAAGATGTTCACTGCTTCAATGTGTTGAGACCCCAGGCCATTGTCAGCTGCACTGTGGTTGTCCCTGAATGGTCTTCAGTCAGAAACAAGCTGAAGGATGTTTTTCTTCCAGAGAAGACTGAATGATATGATGTCTCCCGGATTATAGTCTGATGATAAAACTGGAATAGGATACTGGGAGAACCTCTATGGACATCACAGTAAAGTGTCACCCAGTCTCCTTCAAAAGCTAACTCTCTAGGAAGCCTTAAAATGAAGACAGGTACTGAGAAGGATAGGAAAAAATTAGGCAACTATTACTTCTATTTCTTGGTATAGATTTCAACCAGTGATCAGTACATGTTCAGTCTCTAATTTCCACAAAGACCCTCATGTGTCCCAAGACCCTGGAGCTCTTGCTGCTGTGTTCTGTGCTGGCAATTTTGTCTTCTCCTTTGACGTCAGAACTTCCATAGAACCTTAGTGGCTCAGTGGGGAAACAGTCAACCTTAGAAACCCACCAGCATCTCCACAGGGGAAAAAACGTGACAGTCTGCTTCTATAAAGAATTACAGCTTTGAAAACATTATGGAACAGTTCTATTCTGCTCTATAAGACCTTCATTGATCATGAATGAGTCTGAATTCATGTTCAATGGATTTTTTTTTATTTGTTACCAAATCTCTAGCTCCTCTTACTATCCTATGCCCCATGATTAGGTAGGTGACATCATATCATATTACTTGGGTAAAATTGAGAAGGCTCCTGTTATTACCAATGCATCTTGATTACATGTTTGATAGATTTCTGATTGCAAAAGCTGGTAGAAATCTTCCATTTCCTCCTCTTTGGCTCTAGTTGTTGGTGCATATATCAATTGGCAGCATTAGTATGGTTGGTGAAGAGACTGAGATAGCTAACAGTTTTAGCTTGCTTGGCTACATAGTCAACACTCTTGGTACCAACAGCCAGAAAATGAAGAGATGGATTGCATTGGGAAAGTCATCTGTCAGGGACCTCTCCAGAATACTGAAGAGCAGTGATGTCAGACTGGAAACTAAGGTGCACCTGATCCAGCCCATAGTCTTTGCAATTGTGTGCTATGCATCAGAGAGTTGGACAGTGACTGGGGATGATAGAAAGAGAATTGATGCCTTTGAGCTGTGGTGCTGGAGAAGAGTATTGAACATACCATGGATATGGAGAAAAAACAGGTTTGCTTTGAAGAGGGTGAAGCCAGGCTGCTCCTTGGAGTCAAGGATTCTGAAGCTTCATCTGACATTCTTTGGGCATGTTGAAAGGAGATACCGGTTCTTGGAGAGGGACGTCATGTTTGGGAGAGTAGAGGGACAGTGCAGGAGAAGAAAACCCTCAATGAGATGGATTAATTCTGTGATTGGGGTGGTGGGAGTACGTATGTCGGAGATGATGAAGTTGGCACAGGATAGAGCGGGGTTTAGGACTCTTGTACATAGGGTCACTATGAGCGAGCACCTCAATGGTACATAACAACAAGAGAAGAAGTACCTTTTCTTGTCACTAGACTCACATGCTTATCTATACCAGATCCTTTCCCCTTCTCTATCACCTATGTCCGTGGGATATAGGTAAGAAGAAGGTAGAAGACCTCCTACTTCTGTATTAAACTCAGTGGCAGGGCATAGCTCTTAACTATCACTATCTCTCAGCTCCACCTTATCTATTTTGATGCAGGCTTACCCCAATTTATGTCTCACCTCATACCGCGGCCTTAATAACTCTGAAAATGCTTTTACACTAAAATAAGCAAGCAAGCAAGCAAGAAGTGAACTTTTGATTCAGCTTCTTAGTGGAGCTTCCAGGTAGTAGCCAAATTTGTTGGTATAACTATAGTCTTGTTACCTGTCTTTGTGTTTATGTAGTCTTTTTATATTTCTTTTTGCTAATTATAAATGTCTGATACTAAAAGGCAGGAAATTCTTCTTTGTTCTTGGTAATCGATTATGTAGCTACTGAGGGTGCTGTGATGAATGAAAATCAGACATCTGGAATTGAAAGAACAAGTGGAGGAGAAGGGAAGCAAATTTAAAAATATTTAGTCTACTAGAAGTTTGTGGGAGAAGGAAGGGCAATCTCCTCTCGTGCAATTAACTGCCTCCGACCAGAGGTTCAGCTGTGGGTTGGTTCAGATTCAATGGTACACAATAACAAAACAACAATTGGAAGTTAGGAGTCAATAAAAAGGAAACTGTTGGGCCGACAGCCCAAGACGTGATGATGCCTTGGATACACAAGGAGGGAGGCCCAGAGGAGGAAGTTAATTAATTTAGTAAATGAGGCCACTGTGAAGCACATTAGGTTTACCCAAAGAGGAAGCAGAGAGGAAAAAAAAATACAAGGTGTAAACACATTTCTGAGTGAAAGTGGATGAATGAGTGAAGTGTGAGAGGGAACTGGTCAGAACTGGATAATGGAAAGAGGAAGCCTACTTACCCCTGATGACAAGGCTGACTGCCTTGCTGTGTTGGACCCTCTGGCCATTTTGAGCTGAGCAATGATATTTCCCAGAATGCTTTGCAGTCAGAGAAAGGCTGAAGAGCTCTATTCTCTGTGAGAAAAAGGATCTCTCTGTTAGAGGCACATTGTCCAGATAGAGTTTGTACAGGATGGGGAGAGAGCCTCTTTGCACTTCGCAGTAAAATGTCATCATGTGTCCTTCAAATATGTTGGCCTCAGGAGGATTGAGAGTTAGGACAGGCTGAGACACAGGAACTGAGGAAAAGAAAAAGAATTAAAGAACAGTTGATTTCCCTTCTTACTGTGGGTTTCAATCTGTGGCAGTGAAAATTCAGTTTCCAGTTGCCACTAGTCTAATGGGGTGGCCCAGGACTCTATAACTCTTTTTCTCTTGTGCCCCATACTGGTTATTTTGTCCTTTCCTTTCCATTCAGACCCCTGGCAATTTCTCTCCTGTATTCCATCCTTAGATGACACAACCCTCATGATCCTCATAGGAAATTAAGTCCTCAGAAAAGAAGCTCGATGATGTACTACCACCAGATTTACATAATTTTTAAAAAAAATAACATAAATAAACTTTTAATGATGAATTAGTTTTTTGTTTTTGTGTTTTTATATCAGTGAAATTTTATAAATAATGTTAAGTTTTTAATTAGTTCATTTAAATACATTTTGCTTTATAGCATTAATTACATTTGAAGACTTACATCTTTATATGCATTAACTCCTTCCTCTCTGATTATGACTATGGAACCTACCAAAAATTCAATTCAATGATAAAACTTAAGTCTTACTTGTCACCGTTTTCTCAGCTCTGTTTTGTCTGGCTTGGTCCACTCATTTTTGCTTGAAACACTCTTGTCTCTTGTTTGCTGTATGTGTTTGTCTTAGTTTCTTATCTTCTCTCAGCCATCCTCCATCAAAGGCTCTTCTCCCTCAACAAAGACTAGCCTTGGGCTTTCGCTGACTGAACTCTTTCTGGGCTCTCTCTTCTGCTCCTAGCTGAAGATAGCTCTTTTAGAATGCATTCTTCACATCTAAAGTCTTCTTTGAAAGCCTTAAAATCTTTCCTGCATACCAGTTATCATTTGAAACAAGTCCAATTTTCTGATTATTACTTCCAAAGCCCATGTTACATCACTTTGCCTTCCCCCTCCATCTCATTCCTGTATGTTCCAACTACTTCATGTTATTCAACCATCAAGATGAACTTACTTCCATCATGGTGCTGATTATGTCTTCCTTCACAAGACTTTATTTAGCACAAGAGTCTCCTTGGCAAAAAGCCTCTATCTCTGACTTCTAACTGCTATTAGCACCCTTATGCTAATGATCCTTACTTCCCACCCCCTGACTCATCATAATTCCAAACACACATGGAAGGAAAACCTGCCCTTTTCTATACCATCAGACTGTTGTGAGCCATTGAGTTTTCGATGCAAACCTGTAAAGGAAATTGTGTCCCCAAAAAGGACACGGGGAACTGGAAGGGGCAAACACATTTCTGAAAGGGGTTAGTGTAGAAAGGATGTGGCCAGAGTTGCCTGATGGAATAAGGGACCCAGGACAATACTTTAATGATAATACTGATTTTCTTACTATTCTGGAACCCCAGGCCTTTTGAGCTGTGCAGTGGTATCTCCCAGAATTTCTTGCAGTCAGAGAGAGGCTGAAGAACGCTCTTCTCAAAGACACATGCCTCTTCATCAGCAAGACACTGTTAATACAGGAGGGGGAGAGAACCTCTCTTTGTTCATAGTAAAATGTAACCCTATTTCCTTCAAAAGTCATAATCTCAGAAGGGCTGATTGTGAGGACAGATTGTAACACAGGGGCTGAGGGGAAAAAAAATACAGTGACATTTGCTTTTGCATCTTATTCTGTGTTTCAAACCACATTCAATGCAAATTAAATCCCTAGTCCCTTTTAGAGTCTCAGGCGGTCCCTAAGACCCTACAGTGCTCTCTCCTGTGCTCCTTGCTAACTTTTTGTCTTTATAAAAGACTCTGGCCCCTCACCTCCTGTTGCCCCTTGTTAGGAGACTTCCTCTTCATATTTCTTAGAGGAGAAAAAGTTCTTCACACGAATAGCTCCATATTGTGCTGCCACCAGACCCATAACCTTGTGTGTATCAACTTCATCCTCCTTTTCTTGGTCGTATAACTATGGAACCATTGCCTCCACCTACCACAAGTGAGTAGGATTAATTCTTATCTATCACTATTTCTCAGGGAGCACTAGTGGTCTACTGGCAAGAAGCTGTGAAGTTTGAATCCACCAGCTGCTCCATGGGAGAAGGATGGGCAGTCTCCTGTGTGATTAACTGCCTCTGAAAACCTGCTGGAGGGTCAGCTGTGGGTCGGTTCTGACTTGATAGTAAACGACAACAACATCACTATTTCTCAGCTCTGCATTATCTACTAGATTTTCCTACTTTCCCATATATCTATTTCCTTGGTTTCTGGAGTTCATTCACTCCTACTTTCTTGTCTTCCTTTATCCAAAACACTTTAGGATAGGAAAAAGAATTGGGGAGTTGAGGGAGAAGATCATTTGAAGGAGGATGGCTGCAAGAAGAAATGAAACCAAGAAAGTCTGTATAACAGAAACCAAGAGAAGAGAATGCTTCAAGCAAAAATTAGTGGGCCAATTCAAATAAGTCAGAGCTAAAAAATGGTGACAGCTAAGACTTAAGTTTTACCCTTGAAAAAATCTTTTTATAGGTGAGAGGTAGTTTTGGTAGTCCTAGTTCAAAGAGGAAGAAGGAGTTAATGCACGTAATTATGTAGGTCCGGTGGTAGCACAATATGGAGCTGGTTTTCTGAGGACTTAATATTGTGTGACACTCTTTAGGTGCCTTCTCCCTTAACTGAGACTGTTTGACTATGCATGCATTCTCTTCCTTGGCCCTCTCTCCATCTAGCTGCTCTCCAGGCCAAGCTATACACTGGCTGAAATCTAACTTCAGTCTCTCACATGGTAAACGTTAAAAATTCTATCACTGACTCATCATTGCCCTCTCTGACACAATCTTTTAGCTTGAAACAAGTCCCCTCATCGTCAGGTCTCAGCTCAAACATTAAGAAATTTTCTCTCACCATCCAGCTCTGACTGGGGTATTTTCCCTTCCTCCTGCCCAACCCCCACCACAAGTCCTTCTATCCCTTTGACTTGTGTTTGCATTTTATTCATTTTAATCTGCTATTTGGTTCTATATAGGGTTGCTATGAGTTGCAAACGACTCGAAGGCACATAACAGCAACAACAACAACAACAACATTTGGTCTCAAAAGCTATGCAGATAAGACCTATGTTGGTTTTAATGTGATGCGTTTTCAGACCCTCATATAGTCTGTGAATATGGTATATTCACAATAATTGTTATAAACCATAGAATAGAAAAAACTTGGTATACTGCTAATGTTTCCAATAAGCCACAATACCATTATCTTTGATTCCTTTTGGACTGTGGATTCTAAAGCACAGATTTTTCTGCCTCTTGTATTTGATGTCCCTTCTGAATTGCCTAACCTTTTCCTTTACAATTCTGCATACCCATGTGGAAGGGGCTGGAGAGTCTTACTTGTCTTCCAGCCTGTTTCTAGTGTTTTACAGGAGAACAAACTGTTTTTAGACACAGCCATGTATCTAATTGTCTCTCTAAATGTGGATTCAGATTTGGTGTTGTTGTTTTGCCATTAAGTTGACTATGACTCATAGACACCCTATGACCAACAGACATGAACCCTGCCCTTTCCTGTCCCTTCCTCACTATTTTTGACACTCTTGAGCCCATTGCTGTAGTCACTGTATAACTACACCTGGTTGTGAGTCTTCATTTCTTTCACCATCTCTCTACCTTCCAAAGCACAACATCCTTCTTCAAGGAATAGCATCTCTTATGGAGTTCTGGTGGCCTAGTGGTAAGAAGATGCAGTGCAATCTTAAAAGCATGAGATTCAAATCCATCAGCTGCTCCACCAAACGAGGATGGGCTGTAGGCTCTGTGCAATTTACTGCCTCTGGCGTAACCAGCAGAAAGGGTCAACTATAGGTCAGTTCTGAATTTATGATATTCACAACAGCAACATGCCCAAAACATATATGAGGTGAAGCTTTCTAAAAGAAACACTGATGTTGTACATACCCCAAGACTTAAGTGTTTGTTCTTTTGCCAGTCATGGAATCTTCAGTACACTTCTCCAATACCATAGTTCAAAGGAATCAATTCTTTTCTGTCATCCTTATTCATTGTCCAGCTCTCAGCATAGCAAGTGATTGAAAAAATCATGGCCTGAATCAGTCACACCTTAGCCTTCAAACGAACCTCATTGATCCTCAATAATTTGGAGAATTCCCTGACTGCAGACTTTCCAAATGCAATACATCTCCTGATCTCCTGACTACTGATAATAAATGTATTGATTGTAGATCCAAGTAAGATGAAGTAATTGACAGATTTAAACTTTTTTCTCCATCTATCATGTTGTTTCTTATTGGTCCAGTGGTAAGAATTTTTGTTTTCTTGACATTGAGATGCAATCCCTATTGAAGGCTGCAGACTTTTATCTTCTGCAGCAAGCACTTCAAGTTCTCACTTTCAGCAAGCAAGGTTGTGTTATCTGCTTAACAAAGTTTATTAATGAATTGTCCTCCAATCATGCTGCTGTAGTCTTCTTCATAGAGTCAAGTTCCTGAAATAATTTGCCCAGCATACAGATTGAATAGGTATGTAGAAAGAATACAACCCTAATGTTAGACTATATAATGCTCCCTCTCTTGGTCTAGGTATAGGTTTCACATGAAAATAAGAGTTCTGGGATTCCAATTCTTCACAATGTTAGCCATAATTTATCATAATTTTATCAGATGTGTTTGCATAGTCAAGAAAACACAAATAGACATTCTTCTGGTATTGTCTGCTTTTAATCAAGTCTATCTAAAATCAGCAATGATATCTCTGGTGTCACAGCTTCTTCTAAAACCTACTTGAACTTCTGGAGTTCTCTATGAATGTACTCTTCTAGCCACTTTTGCTTCCAAATAGTGGCTAAATATGTTGGAATGACTACGGTTTTGTTACCTCTCTTTGTCCTTATATGGCCTTTCAACTTTGTCATTATCCATGTCTGATTTTAAAGAGCAAAAACAATTTATCCTTCTTATGTAGCTACTGATTATAGTGTAGTGAATACTGAGAACAGTGCAACAAATGAAAATCAAACATATGGGGTCTCAAATGAAGCATGAAGAGAAATTAATTAAACAAACAAACAAACAAACAAACAAAACCCCCAAACCAAACTCCCAAACAAGGCTTCATTTGGTTCACCAGAACCTGAGGAACAGAAGACAGAAAGTTGCTGGGCAGACAGCTTGGGATGTGAGGATGCCTTAGCTACACAAGGAAGAAGGCGCAGAGAAAGTAAGGACACTGTGAAGGTCATTAAATTGTTTCAAAGAACAAGCAGAGATAATTCAGTGTAAAAACGTTTCTGAAGGGACGAGAGTGGGAGGGAATGGGCCATAATTGGGTGATGGAAAGAGGAACCTTGGACTTACCTTTGATGACAAGTCTGATTTCCTCACTGTACCGAATCCCCAGATTATTTTCAGCTGAGCAGTGGTATTTTCCAGAATATTGTTCTGCTGAAGAGAGGAAGAGTGACTCCAAAAGAGTATTTGTATCTCTAAGAGAGACTTGTTTCTTCTTGAGGACAACATTGTCACGATAAAGCTTCAACAGGAATGGGAAAGAGCCTCTCTGTATTTTACAGGAAAATGTCCTAGTTTCTCCCTCAAAAGCCATAGTTTTGAAAGGGCTCATAGAGAGTACAGGGAAGGACACAAGAGCTATGGAAAAGAGAGAAAAATATTGTCAGTTTTTGCTTGTGCTTCTTTGCTTTAAGCTCTCAGAGTACCCTTGCAGCTTTCACTCCTGTGGTCTATTTTGTCTACTACTTTGGTTTTTCCTTTCCCAAAAGATTGCTGACCTGTTTTCTTTTCTGTGCCCCTTAATTACATTACCTGCTTAACCCTCAACCGCCATTTCTCTGAGAAAAGAAATCATTATGGAAAAAATCCCTTATTTTTTTGTCACCAGATCAGCACATTTACTCTTCACCTCTGACTATGACCATTAAAGAGTTTTTCCTCTTTTTGCCTAAGCAATTTCAAGTTTTTTTGCCAGTCTTATGTTTTTTTTCTTCATTCAATTTGATGGCACCTAACAATAGCATAACTTTTTTATTTCTTCCTTCTGTGGAGTTGATCTCAGGATTATACCCTGGGCCCTTTCTCTTTTCAGAGCCACACACTTCCCACACACTTTTCCTCTACTACTATATTCTCTTTGCATCCAGTCTCTCCTGTTATGGTTGAGAGAACTATGTCAGCTATGAATTAGAGGACCCATGGCCACTCAGTAGGGTGTTTCAAGGACCCACTTGGACATGAGGCTATCTTCTGATTGCTGGTCCAATATGAAGCCTGTCTCTCCTTTTTTTTTTTTACAATAAATTTTTTAACAATAATTTCTTTTGAGTTAAAGTTTAGAAAACATACTGGTTTTCATTCAATAATAAAAACACATTTTGTTTTATAATATTAATTAGAATTAATTATGTAAGATGCTAATAACAGGAGAAATTGGTGTGGCATATACAAAATGTTCCCCCCAAACTCTCCGCTTTCTAGTCTCCTTAAAACATTATCTTCATCTTTTCTATGAGTAAAGGAGATAGCATCAAGAAGAAACTCAAGACTCCACAGAACCCTTTCTCCTCGGCTGTTACAACTACAAAAATTCTTTTTTTTTTTTTTTTTTTGGGAAAGGCTTTATTAACTTACGCTATATGCACTCATTGCCAGTCAGGTTATGGAAACTGAATAGAAAAAACTTATATAAAAAACATACGCACATAAACACTTAAACTTATTCAATTTCATATTAACAAAGTTTATATTAAAAAAGTCTAGAACCCAACAATTCCCCCCCCCCTAAGTATAAAGATGGCTGTTTGGAGAAAGAAAGTCCCATGTGTGGTGGTATGATGGGATAAGGGTTAGGGAAGAAAGATAAGGCAATCTCCTCCCATTAAGATTTAAAGCCTTGGAAACCTGATAGATATATACCATCATTTGGAATCAACTTGGGAGCAGGTTTGATTTGATACCACAACTCTAACAGCTTTGAAGGGAAGATAGCATTGTTATTTAGTAAAGAAGATATATAAAATTCTACCACATGACGCCAGCCTTAGTTCTGTTGCCAAGGCCTTACTTGTCCTTCTTTGTTTCTAACTTAAGCTTTCCAGTCACCAATTGATGCATTTTGGTTGCACACTTGATAAAGTTCAGTCTTCAAATGGTAGAATTTAATTTCTTCATCTTTGAGTTTCATAGCTGCTGCACATATTTGAATAAGTTTATAACCAATACTTTCTTCTATGAGTATTGATAGTATCCTGTCATTCACAGCATTGTACTTAAGTATTGATCTTGAAATGCTTGCTCGCTTTTCTTTTTCTTTCTTTTTTTACAATGAATGCTACACTACTCCTCTTAAGTTTGTCATTTGTTGCATTGTGGATTATGTGATTGCCTGATTCAGAATGACCAATGCTAACCAATCCTTCTCAGTTCACTAATGCCCAGGATGTCAATCTTTAGGAATTCCATTTAATTTTTTACAACTTCCAATTTTTCTAGACTCACACTTCTTGCAGTCCAAATTGCAACTAATGATGGATATTTGCAGCTGTTTTTCCTCATTTTGGGTCTTGTCACATAAGAAAAATAAAGCTCCTTCACTGGGTGAAAGCTTTACTTCATCTACATCATTAAGTAGACTCTCCTTGGAGTAGGCCGTCTTTCTCTAGTTGCATTTTGAATGCCTTCCAATGTGAGGGCCTTATTCTTTGGCCCTATAACTAACAATGTTCTTCCATTACACATCAGGTTTTCAAAAGTTAGTTATTTCATAATTGGATGGTCAGTCCTGCTTCTTAGTCTATCCTAGTCTCGAAGTCCCACTGAAACTTGCCCAACATGGTGGGTGACCCTGATGGTATTTGAAATACAGGGGGTAGCTATGTAGCTTCCAGTATCACAGCAACAGGCAAGCCACACAGTACAGTAAACAAATGCACAAGTAATAATGTATTAACTGCAAATATTTCTTTAAAACCCATAAATGACAGCTATCTAAATGCACTTCACCTGATAGATTCCACAGGCATTGGATTGACCACATCTACAGAAAAAGAATATTGGAAAAGCTCAATATCAGTAGCCAAAATCAGGCTAGGGAATTACTGTGGAACAGACTATCAAATAATTGTATGTAAGTTCAAACTGAAGTTGAAGAAAATTCAAACAATTCCATGAGCACCAAACTCTTACCTTGAGTGCATCCTAACTAAATGGAAAAGACTAGATTTGTTGCACTAAACACAAGGGACTGAAGACCAGGCGTGTTGAGAAATGACATCAACGACATCTTCCATGAAGAAAGAAAAAGATTATCACAAAGACAGGGGAAAAAAGAAAATACCAACAAGGATGTCAGAAGAGCCTCTGAAACTTGGAACAAAAAGAAGGCAAAACAAGGAAAAGGAATGTGGAAGTTAGAGTACTCAATGGAATATTTCAGAGGGCATCTCAAGAAGATAAAGCAAAGTATTAGAGTGAAATGTGCAAGGAACTAAAGTTAGAAAACCAAAAGGGAAAAATAAATTCAAATGCGAGTGGCAGCACTAAAGGATTCTATGGGGAAAATCTTGAATTATGCAGAAAACATCAAAAGAGGATGGAAGGAATTAACAAAGTCACTGCACACACACAAAAAAATTGATTGACATTAACCCATTTCAGCAAGTAGTATATGATGGAGATCCAAAGGTAATGAAAGGAGATGTTCAAGATGTACTGAGAGCATTGACAGGAAAAAAAAAAGTCCTCAGTTGTTGTTGTTAAGTGCCGTCGAGTCGCAGGCGACTCATAGCGACCCTATGAATTAAAGTCCTGGACAACTCCTGTATAAATTTCATCCTTTCTCCAGGTTCACAGGGTTTCCAGAGGCAAGCTATTGTGGAATTGGATGCTACTCCTGCTTCCACGCTTGTTTTAACCGGGGATCTCCAGCAAACATTGTCCACCATGGGTAGCCATTCTCACATTTGACTTATCAGTGTCACAGTGTTCAGCTTTACAGCAACCACGAGTTACCTCCGTACAGCAAGTGGACATACTAGGGTTACACGACCCAGAAGAATGTCTTATCAAAAACAATTAAAGGCAGGCGTGAGGGCCGCAAAGTAGAGTCACCCACCTTTGGCAATGGGTAGAATATTAATTGAAGTGTTTCAGGAAATGGATGCAACCCTGGATGTGCTCATCAGACTCTGACAACAAATACAGAAGACAGCTACCTGGCCAACTGAGGACTAGGAAGGGAAAAAAATTCCATTTTTTCCCATTCCCAAAACAGGTGATCCAACAGACTATAAAAATGATCAAACAATATTGTTAATAATATGTTGTTGTTGTTGTTGTTATGTACCATCAAGTCACTTGCGACTCATAGCGACCCTATGTACAACAGCCCTAAACTCTGCTCTGTTCTGTGCCAATCGCACTGCCTCTGACACACCCATCCCGATTGCCCCAGTCACTGAATCAATCCACCTCACAGAGGGTCTTTCCCTCCTGCGCTGTCCCTCTTGCTGAAATGTATTTTAAAATGCCTGGACCAGTACATTGATAGAGAACTGCCAGAAATTCAAGTTGGATTCAGAAGAGGTCATGGCAAGAAGGGTATAATTGCTGATGATAGATGGATCTTGGCTGAAAACAGAATGTCAGAAAATGTTTAGTTGTATTTTGTTTATTATGCTAAGTCATTTTCTCTGTGGATCATCATGAATGATTATTACTGAGAGTAGTAGTTATGTGCCATCGAGTTGAGCATGACTCATATAGCAACCCTATGAACAACAAAGCTGAACCCTGTGCTATACTGTGCTCTACTCATCATCTCTAACATACTCAAGCCCATTGCAGCAGTCACTGTGCCAATCCATCTCGTCGACGGTGTTCTGTCCAGTCTTCAGCTGACCCTATACGTTTCCAAGAACAATATCTCTCTCCAAGGAATAGCCCATCTTGACAACATGTCCAAAACAGTTTCTGCATCTTGCCTCAAAGAAACACTCTGGTCACAGGTTCTTCAGGATCAATCTGTTAGTTCTTTTAGCGATCCATGAGATATTCAGTGCTATTCTCCATCACCACAATTCAATGGCATCAGTTCTTCTTCTATCACCCTTATACTTACTGTCTAGCTCTTAGATACATAACAAGTAATGGAAATGACCATGTGTGAATCAGAGGCAACTTAATCGTCAAATTGACAACATTGCTTCTCAGCGCTTTGGAGAGATCCTTAAAAGCTGAGTTTCCCATTGCAACATGTCTTTGATTTCTCACTGCTGGTAACACGGGTGTTGATTATAGATGACAATAAAATGAAATTGATGACAATTCTAATCTTTTTCCATGTATCACGATGTTGCTTAATTGTCCAGTGGTGGGAATTTTTATCTCCTTGATGTTGAAATGTAATCAATATTGAAGGCTAAATTTTTGTTTCTGCAGTAAGTGCTTCAAGTGCTCCTCACTTTCAGCAAGCAAGGTTGTTTTATCTGGATTCTTCTTCATAGGGCCCAGTCTCTTGAATGATTTATTCAGCATATAAATTGAATAGGTATGGAGAAAGGATATGTCTCTACACACTAAATTCCTTATTTGTGACCAAGAAGTAGTTGTACTAACAAAAGAAAGGGGACACTGAATTTCTTAAAATAAGAAAAAAGTGTGCATCATAGTTGTAACATTTCTCCATACCTAATCAATCTGTATGCTGAGTAAATCATCCAGAAAGTGGAACTATATGAAGAAGAATGTGGAATCAGGATTGGAGTAAGACCTGTATTATGCAGATGACACAATCTTGCATGCAGAGAGTGATGAAGACCTAAAGTATTTACTGCAAAAGATAAGAAACTACAGACTTCAATATGGGTTACAGGTTAATATGAATGAAAAAAAAACTTCAATAAACCACATCATAATAAGTTGAGAAAAAATTGAAATTGTCAATGATTTAATTTTACTTGGATCCATATAATCAACACTCATGATAACAGAAGTCAACAAATCAAAAGATGTGTTGCTTTGGAGAAATCTGCTGTTAAGGACCTCTCTAAAGTTCTAATGAGTGAGGATGTCAGCTTAAAGACTAAGGTGCATCTGATCCTAGCCATGATCTTTCTAATTTCTTCCTATGTGTCTGAAAGTTTGACAGTGAATATAGAAGATCAAAGTAGAATTGATGCCTTTAAACTATGGTATTGGTGATGAGTATTGAATAACCCACGGGCTGCCAAAAGAACCAGCAAATCTGTCTTGACCCATCAACAAATGGATGTGGTATATTCACACAATGGAATACTATGCTGCATTCAAAAACAAGGAACTCATGCAATATTATTCAAAATGGGTGACCCAGGAGGATATTATGCTGAGTGAAATATCTCAGCCACAAAAGGACAAATACTGCATGGTGCCACTGTTGTAAAACAGGACTGACATTGGAGTTGGGGGGAGACCGAGAAGGATGGGTTTAGTAATGTATACTGCATTGAAACAGATGAGGGAGAAAACTCTTTAAAAGGGATATGTGATTAGGTATTTTTGTCATGACAGGAGTCCAGAGCGAAGGCTGCATAGTGGAGTGGACCTGGGGGAGGGTTTGTAAAACAATGAAAGAATTTTACTTTTCCAAGAGGTTGGTGTACTAGTGGGGAGGTTTGGGAGGGGAGAAATGTGCAACAATGAATGAATGGAAATCCGAAGTCTCTGTACATTTTCATTGAAATTAATAATAAATTTAAAAATAAAAAAATCTGTCTTGTAAGAAGTACAACTAGAATACTTCTTAAAAGCAAGGTTGGTGAAACTTCATCTCAAGAGGAACCAGGCCTTGGAGAGATACATCATGCCTGGGACGGTTGAGGGTCAGAACACCACAGAAAAGCTTGCAACAGGGTGGATTGACACGGTGACCACAACAGGCTTGAGTGTGACAGAGGTCATGAGCATGGTGTAGGACAGGGCAAGGTTCAGACCTTTTGTTCACAGGGTCACTATCACAAGCTTGATATCACCTAACGACAATTACTTTTTAGATGTCCTCAAGAACTGAGATCTTTCCTCTAGCACAGTTTCCATATTCACAGGCAGGAACCAGTGGCATCTCTCCCCACTCTTCCTTCTTCTAGTCCTGTCAAACCTCAGAACCCACTGGCACTTACCCTGTGAACATAGAGAGACTTTTGGGCTCTCTTCCCACTTGTTGGAAGTGTCTGTCTTTGCAGTGCAGTAATAATACTTGCTGTCACACCTTTTGGCAGGGATATAGTATTTTAAGGAATGACTCAAGCCTGATCCCAGGACTTCTCGATCACGGATGAAGCGGAATTGGAGCTGGCTGGCGGACATCTGTGAAGGGAGTTGTGTCTCACAGGTCAGGATCACCCAGGACCAGTCCGCAGACTGGGACAACATGGTTTTCAGCACAGGACGTAGAAGCAATTCTAGAAAGAAAGATCATAACAACTCCTAGGTAAGTGGCACTTAGAACCATTCTGGGAAAAAACCACAACGCACCATCTATATCAGCAAACAGAACACATGGGAGCCGGTAAAGAGGGAAGCAGCACTGCTTTTTTTTTTTTTTTCCCCAGCACTGCTTTTTTAACAGTCTGAGTCCAAAGTGGTGTTTGCACTCTGTTCCTTGCTGTCTACCTTTTTCTTCCAATTTCATTTCTACCCTCAAAATAACTCAACCAAAGACCCTGTATGACTGGTTCATTTCATGGGAAAATAAAACTCTTACCTTCAACTTGGATTTTAACATAATTTGAAACGGAGATCTCATATTTCTTATATCCTCTACAAAAATAGTCACCATTGTCCTTTCTACTTGCTCCTTGAATGGAGAATTCTGAGCCATTTTCAAGCACTTTCAGTAACTTATTATCCTTATAAATTTCCAGTTTCTCTAGTACTAAGCCCGCTTTTGCCCGGCATCTCAGAACCACAGATTGTCCTTGAAACACAGAGTCTGGAACGTTCAGGATTAGTGAAGCTGGAGAAAACAGAAGATACATTATTTGGTTTATTTTGTTGTTTTTTTCTTCATATCTTTTCATTATTATTCCAAATAAATGCTATAGCAGTGGGGACTGAGTGAAAATTATTCTTGAAATAACTACCCTTTCTTTTTTATCTCCCCCCTCTCCATTTTAAAGTAGATTTATGTTTTTTAAACAAATTTGGAAAACAGCAATGTAAAGAAAAATCAACTGTCATCTCACCAGATTCTGGTATACAGTTTTCTACCTATTTATCCCATGACCTTGTCCTCTATGTATGTGAGAGTCTGTCTAAATTTTTACTTTCAATGGAATTGTGACTGTTTTCATGTATTGATGACTTGTTTTTCCCTTACTGTGTATTGAGCATTTTTCTACATCATTAACCTCATTCCTGAACTTGGTTTTTAATTTTCCATGCTATGGTTGTGGTTGTTGTTTCTGAGTGAGTTCGGCCCTTTTGATTTTCTGACTCCAGCTCTCTGCACATTTCATTATAGGATCTTGCTTTGTCGTCCCCAGCTGCCTTTTGAAATTTTCTGTTCAGGTCTTTGATTTCTTGGTTTCTTCCTTTAGCTTTGGCTTCTCAGCACTCTAATGCATGGTTGTTGTTGTTGTTATGTGCCATCGAGTCATTTGTGACTCATAGTGACCCTATGTACAAGAGCCCTAAACGCCGTTCTATCCTGTGCCAACTTCACCGTCTCAAACACATTCATTCCCACGACTCCACTCACAGAATCGATCCATCTTATTGAGGGTCTTCCTCTCCTGCGCCATCCCTCCACTCTCCCAAACATGATGTCCCTCTCCAAGGACCAGTCCCTCCTTGTAACATGCCCAAAGTATGTCAGACGAAGCTTCAGAATCCTTGACTCCAGGGAACATTCTGGCTTCACCTTCTCCAGGACAAACCCGTTTGTTCTCCTAGCAGTCCATGGTATATTCAACACTCATTTCCAGCACTACAACTCAAAGGCATCAATTCTCTTTCTATCATCCCTATTCACTATCCAACTCTCCAATGCATAGCACATAATTGCGAAGACTATTGCCTGGATCAGGCGCACCTTAGTCTCCAGCCTGACATCATTGCTCTTCAGTACTCTTGAGAGGTCCCTCATGGCTGACTTTCCCAATGCAATTTGTCTCCTGATTTCCTGGCTGCTGTTACCAAGAGTGTTGACTGTGAAGCCAAGCACACTAAAACTTTTAACTATCTCAAACTCTTCACCATCCATACTGATGCTGCCAATTGGCCTAGTGGTGAGAATCTCTGTTTTCTTGATATTGAGCTTCAATCCATATTGAAGACTGCAGTCCTTGACCTTCTGCAGCAAGCGCTTCAGGTCCTCCTCAGTTTCAGCGAGCAGGGTTGTGTCATCTGTTTAACACAGGTTGTTGACGATTCTTCCACCAATCCTGATGCCACATTCCTCCTTGTACAGCCCAGCATCTCGGATGATCTGTTCTGCATACAGATTGAAAAGGTATGGAATGGTAGAAACCATAATTTATTTCATGAGTCTTTTTTTCCTTGATATTTACATGAATTCTTAAAAGTGACTTGCCGAGTTAAATAGCAATGACATTTTAAAGTTTGGGGATTTTTTTCTTTTTAATGGTTTGACCAATTGTCCACTGGATACAATTTTTACTTGGTATTCATCTGTTTGGCTAGAACTTTCTTAAATCCTCTCCTCTACCCACCAGATCCAAAATGTTGATCTGACACATCTTTTAATTCAAACTTTCTTCTTTAAATAAACTGCTCATATAACTTCTGAAAAATATGAGAACAGGTGGAAAATAGTCCTGAAATGGGAATAAGATTAAACTTCTATAAACTGATGTAACTGATTTAAAAAGATATGGATAAAATAATATTGAGCATTGCAGAACTTGTAAGGAGGGTGCAGTTCAATCTATTGTTCACAGGGTAAGTATGAATTATGGTCGACTTGATGCGAACTAACAGCATTTATTAAGTGGTTAACATGTGTGACATAAATTACTTAATTGAATCAATTTCAAAAGAAACTCCTATAAATAGGTACTATTTTCACCTCATTTTCATTTTGAGAACATGAGTTTCAGAATACTTCAATAAAAACTCAAGATTATTATTAGTAACTGCTGAGGATGGTATTTGAACATAGGCAGTATGACTCTAGAGTCTAGGCTTTCACTATTCTTCTGCTTTCTATTCTGCTTTTTTACCCATTAAATTAATAAACATTATATTTAAGAAAATAATACTTCAATCTATAAATTAGTAGTTTTAGAATGAAAAATTTCTTTCTCTGTATATAGACACATTTCTGTTGTTAGGTGCTTTTGCGTCAACTTCAACTTGATGACACCTAAAAGCAATGTGTGTGTGTGTAGAGAGAGAGGCTTAAGATTACGAAAAGAATAATTAAAAATTATAAAAGCTTATAAAAATGATAAAAAATTATTAAAATACTTAAGAATGGTTTAGAGTAATTGCTTCTCAAATTTCCTATTGAATGATCAGTTTGTTAAAAAGCTACAAATTCATGGACCTCCTCTTAATATATTTCTCATTTAGTAAATATAAATTAGATCCTCAGTTTCTGTTCCAGGCAATTTCTAGATCAATTGAAATTTTAGATCATGAGTCTAGAGACTTCATTTCATAGATACTATAATGTCTGAATAGTTCACTAACAACTGTTAGCGGTTGTGTAAGACAAGCAACCCTTTCTAGATATGACTATTTTGATGTTTTTACCTCCCATAATTGCCCCTATTATTTTAGCTGAAATAATTTAGAATTTCTTAATTTTAGAAGTTTATAATTTCTTAATTTTAAAAATTAAGAAAATCACTCTACTCATTGCTTTTGTTTCAGAACTGACTCACAGCTGATCTTCCAGCAAGTTTTCAATGTCAAGAAGACAAATATTCTCACCACTGGACCAACTGTCAACATCAGGATGGATGGTGAAGAGATTGAGATTGTTCACAGCTTTAATTTGTTTGGCTCCACAGTCAACACTCTTGGCACCAGCAGACAGGAAATTAAAAGACGTATTGCCGTGTGAAAGTCTGCTGTTAGGGACCTCTCCAAAGTACTGAAGAGCAATGGTGTCTCTCTGGAAACTAAGGTGCATTTGATATAGGCCATGGTCTTTGCAATCACTTGTTATGCATCAGAGAGTTGGACAATGACTAAGGAGGATAGAAGGAGAATTGATGCCTTTGAACTGTGGTCCTGGAGAAGAGTATTGAGGGTACCATGGACTGCTATGAAAACAAACAGATTCATCCTGGAAAGGGTTAAACTGGGAGGCTCCTTGGAGGCAAGGATTCTGAGGCTCCATCTAATATACTTTGGACATGTGAGGAGAGACCGGTCCTTGGAGAAGGTCATCATGCTTGGAAAGGTGGAGGGACAGCACAGAATGGGAAGGCCCCCTATGAGGTGGATTGATTCCGTGACTGTGGTAATCGGGATGGGAGTGTCAGAGACAGTGCGATTGGCACAGGACAGAGCAGAGTTTATTGCTCTTGTACATAGGGTCGCTATGAGTCACAAGCGACTCGACGGCACATAACAACAACAACAACAACATAAATCAATGGGAGTGGGTCACCCATCTTTCTCCCACAGAACATCTGCTGGATCTGAATCACTTACCCTTGTGTTGGCAACACAACTCCTTACCTATAATGCCAGGAAACGTATTTCCTGTTTCCTGGTATACGGAGAGGTTTTTATTCTCTCTTTATCAAACCGTTAGATGGAACAAAACTGTTCTCAGGTTGTCCAAGATAAATCGTGTCTGGTAGAAAAAAGACTGGCTAAAGTGATTTCTAAAGCTTTTACTTGTTTAACTTTTTCTCACCTGTTGAAAAATCCAAGTGCACAGGCTTACTGACAGGTGAGTCCTGGATTTGGCAACTGTAGTCTCCAGAATAACGAGCCGTTAGGGGGTTTATGGTGTTTTCTTCCTCAATGTGGTCATTGTACAACCATCTTATTCTTGATGTTGATTCTGAGTCAAATCCATTACAAGTCAGAAGCACTGTCTCTCCTTGAAAGAGTACGGTCCAGGGAGGATTGAGGGAAATCACCGGCTGGGGAGCTGAAGAGAAAAAGAGAACATGTGGGTTGGAGGTGATGCAGACTCAATTTGGTAACTCATCTGAGATAGACTGGAGGAACTTGGCTTGTAGAATTTTTAAGGAAACCCCCAGAAAGGGTTACTACTCAAGGCTGTATATCAACCAGCCAGGTTTACCTACCCCAGGAGATGGTTATGGACAAAAAGATCTCAAGAAAGCACTGATAGCAGAATTCACTAATTGTGAAATGTCAGTGGGAAAAATTGTTAGTCTGTTATGGAATTGAATTCTAGAGAAAGCTACTCTCTACTCCTCCTCCTTCATTATATTCAGAAATTCATAAAAAATACCCACTAAAACATAAAAACCGTAAGAACTACCCAAAGAATTTCTATATCTTTTGCATATTTTGCAACTGTGTTATTAATCTTTTTCTTGTGGAGACCCTGTAGTATTCTGTAAACATTCATTATGAGACCTTTATCTGAAATAGCATTGCTAAATTTTTTCACTCAGTCTGTTTTCTTTTCACCCCACTGGAAAAAGTTTTTTATGCACATAGGGACCTAATCTTTAGCTCTATTTGCTTTAGTAAGCAAATAGCTCTTTGCTTATTATGTTTTTTTCCAGCCTTAGATTTTGAGTCTTTCTCTTTGTTTCTTAGCTCTGTCTCATATGTAGCATATTGACGGACCTTGGGGTTGGTGTTTTGTTTTTGTTGTTGTTGTTGTTGTTTTTTAATTCATTCTGCAACTCTTTTTCTTTTAATTGGTGCATTTAGTCCATTTACATGGTTAGGCAAGCTTTTATTGTTGCCATTTTACTGTATTTCTTTTTCTGTTGTTTCTGATTACTAAGGTACATCCACTTTTCTTTGGTGTCTCTATATGAAGGACTTCCCTTAAATTTTCTTGTAATTTTGGTGTTGTTTTTCACAAATTACTTGAATTCCTTCTCTTCTGTGTGTGACATGATTTCTCCTTCATATTTGATGGAGAGCTTTGTTGGGTACAGGATCATGGCTGGCAATTGATTTTTTTTCTACTTTCTGTATGTGCCATCTTATTGTCTTCTTTTTTAAAAATACAGTTTTAATAGTGATTTTTTAAATTTAATTTTAATGAACGCTTACAAAGATTTGGGATTTCCATTCATTCATTGTTTTATTTTTCTCCTTCCCCACCTTTTCGCCTCAGTTCACTCTTCTCTTTGAAAAGTAAAAGAAAAATTCTTTCATTGGCATACAATCTCCCCATGCCCTGAGTACACTCTGCTATGAAACCTTTGTTCTGGACCTTGTCATGACCATAATACTCAATCAAATATTGCTGTTAAACAAATCTCTCCTTCATCTGTTTCCATGGGGTATATATAATTTATCCAGTCTTTCTCAGTCTCACCCCAACCCTGTTGTCAGTCCTGTTCTACAACAGTGGCACTATGCAGTATTTGTTTTTATGTGACTGAGATATTTCACTCAGCATAATGTCCTCCAGGGTCACCCATTTTGAATATATTGCATGAGCTCCTTATTTTTCAATGCAGCGTAGTATTCCATTGTGTGAATATACCACAGCTTCTCTAGCCATTCATTTGTTGATGGGCACTTGGGTTGTTTCCAACTCTTTGCTATTGTGAACAAAGCCACAATAAATATGGGTGGCAGGTATCTGCCTGAGTGGCAGTTATGGTTTCTTTAGGGTATATTCCCAGTAGAGGAATTGCTGGGTTAAATGGTATTTCTATTTACAACTTTTTGAGAAAGTGCCATACAGCCTTCCATAGTGGTTGCATCATTTTATACTCCCACCAACAGTGAATAAGGGTTCCAGTTTCTCCGCAACCTCACCAGCATTTGTTATTTGCTGTTCTGTTAAACTTTGCTATTCTTACTGGGTGAGATAATATCTCATAGTTGTTTTGATTTGCATCTCTCTTAGAGCTAGACTAAAACAAAAATCCTATACATTTCATTAAAGAAAAGCTTAGAAGAACCCTAGAAGTCTTAATCTACAACATGAACAGTCTTCCAAGTATCCTGAAAAATCTACAACCAGGAGAGGATAAAATAGATGAATGGGACCTAAGAATCAAATCCCTATGCACATCTAAAAACTTCTCCAACAGGGTGAAAAGGGAAGCCACAGATTGGGGAAAAATATTTGGTAATGACATGTCAGATAAGAGACTTATATCTCAAATTTATAAAATACTCATGCACCACAATAAAATAAACTTAAATAACCCAATTGAAAAATGGGCAGAGGATATAAACAGACACTTCATGAAAGAAGACATTCAGATGGCCAATAAACACATGAAGAAATTGTTAATCGTCAATTTTTTTTCTGATATATTTTTAATTGAGTTACAGTTTACATACTTGTAAATGGGTAGTGGTTAATCGTGATTTTAATGGACATTTACAGAGAAGTTAGATTTTCATTCACTCATTACTGAACATTTTACCCTCCCTTCCCCCTCCACAGTTCACTCTTTAAAAAAAGAATTCATTCATTGTTGTATAATTATCTCCCCCTTTCCATCCCAGACCTCTTATTCTGGACAGTTGTTATTTGTGTAATGCCCATTGTCTTCTTGATTTTATGATTTCTGCTGAGACATTAGAACTTAATCTAATTATTTACCCTTTCTAGATTACTCTGTTTTTCTCATGCTGCTATTTAGTATTCTATCCTTAACTTTTTTCTTTTAAGAATTTGAGAATGATGTTGTCATGAATATGTCCTGATGTCTTTTTTGAGTCTAGTCTATTTGGCGTTCATTGAGCTTCTTTTATATGGATTTCTCCATTCTTCATGATACCGGGGAAGTTTTCTTATAGTATCTAGTTCACAACTTTTTCAGTGATTTCCCTGTCCCTCTCATGTTCTGGAATTACAATCATATTGGAATTCTAATATCTGTGTTGTTCCTTTTTTTGTGTGTGTGTGTTGTTCCTTTTGATGTAAACCCAGATGCGTCTGTTGTTTTCTTCATTTTCTTGATGTCTCATGACTCATTTTTCTTTTAGTATGTTTCTTTTGAGGCTTTTGTCTTTTGGCTCACTGACTCTCTGTTCTGTTCTCTTGTTCTACTTTTTTTATCCCTTCCAGCATGTTGGACATGTCAGCCATTTCAATCTTACTGTTCTAGATTGCATTTTCATGCTCTTCTTTTGTTTAGTAATGTGTTTCCTGTACTCTCTTCCTGAGATGATTTTTTTAAGTGCCTCTTTAACTATACTTTAAATTCTTTCTTCTATTTTTTGCATTTTTTTCCATAGTTGTTCAAGTTGCTCTTCATCAATATATTCCTTCTTTTCCCCCTATCTCTGGAGTATTTGCTTTCTTAATGCCTTCCATTGATTCTTTCAACATTTGTGCATTCTTATTTGTAGCTGTTCAAATAACTCAGCATCAACATATTTCTTCTGCTTCTCTGTGGCTGGAGTAGTCATTGGGTCCACAATATGCTCTAAAGGGTTATGCTGTTTTTTTCCCCTGATATTTGAGGCAGCCTGCTGCTTTCTTGCCATTATGTTAATCTTTTATTGGTAGATGTTAAACTGTTATAAATGTGTAATGTCTTAGAGGACGGCAATGTTCTATGAAGGACCTATATATTGGTGTTCCCCTTTTTGAAGCAGGGTGAGTATTGTTCTCTGGAAACCATGCCCGGTCTATCTATCTATGCCTGTTCTCCTTTTCCTTAAGAAATCTCAAGCCTTCTCCATGTGTTACAGTCGGGAAGATTCAAGAACAGCAGTATCTGGGTCATAGACTACAGGGATATATTGTTCTCTGGAAATTCCTAGACCTTTTTGATATAATAATTCTAGGCTTTAAGTTTCTTAAGAAGCAAGACAGCCTCCTTGGTCTTCTTATAGACCTCTACTTTGTGTTCCTCAATACAATGACCTTTAGACATAACCTGCTCTAATAAAGCTGAGGTAGCCAAGGCAGAGTAGATGGCATAGCACTTCTGAGTTGTGTTCACTTTATTGTGCCAATAACACGAGGTTTTGGTTAGTGCAAATATGCAGTCTCCACAACACATATTTCTAAAATCACCTTAGCCAGAACAATCAGTCCCACCACTTTGAACTCTACCAGCACCCCAAGACTCAGCACTGCTCTGATGATCTGACTATTTACTGACAGTATAAGGCTGTCTGTGGGTTGGTTTCTTGGGGGGTGGTTTTTTTGTGTGTGTGTTTCATTTGTTCGTTTGTTTTGGTGCAAGTTGGTGTGAATTAAGTTTACGTACTTCCCTGAAGTTCAAGGCCAAGTGGGAGCCTTGAACCCAGATGGAAAAATAACATTTCTTTTTTCCCAGAGGATTCTCCCTTTTCAGAGTACACCAATATTAATGGATGAGCACATGTCATGGTGGGGAGAATAGGCTGCAAAACACAGTGAATAGTTTAAAAATATCAACTTAATAATAAAGCAGTGTATTAATTTGGGAGACAACACATCAAACATCCACAACAGTCACATCATTTGCCCAGTTTTAGAGCTAATGTGAAAGAGCGAAGACCGGGCAAGTCATTTTCTGGAATCTAAGAGTTACCTCAATAAGGCTAAAATCCTGAGCAGTTGATTTTGGACAAGGATAGTATTTACAGAGAGGTCTTATTATCCATGACTTCTCAAATGTCCAAAATACTCTTTGATCCAGAAAAACAACAAAGTTAACTCACTGCTCTCAAGTTGATTCTAACTCATGATGGTGATCATCCGTTGGATTTCAAAGGTTGTCAATCTTTACAGAAAGAAATGGCCCATATTTCTCCTATGAACTAGCTGGTAGGTTTGAGCCACTGTTAGTTAGTAGTTCTATTCATAACACAAACTAATAAAACAGGTGATAAAATTTGTCTTTTCTTAAAACTGCTTCAGTTGGGGAAACTGACCTCGGGAGCAAGGGATGGTAGGCTTTAGAACAGGAGGCTACAATGTGGTGAGATTCCCACAGGGCTGCTCTGTAGAAACTAAAGGACCTAAAGGACTTTAGGAAAGGCAAACTTTGCAGCTCCAAGGCCTGGAAAGGACTTGTAGTAGAGGAAATGGCCCATCCCATAGACAGAACACTTTAAGTCTCCATCTTATCAATAACTTCATGAAGTCAAAGAACTATCATCAATGTATTCAGACACAACAGAAACAGCCTAACACATTACAAGAATAACTTCACATAATGTCAAGAAAGCAGCAAGCAGCATCAAACATTGTGAAAAAACAAAATAAACTTTCTCCTAGAAACGCAGAACATATTTGAAACCCAACGAATACCCCAGAGACAAAGAGGCAGAAGAAATATGTTCATATGAAATTATATGAACAGCTGTTTAAGAAGGTAAAAATTATGGAAAAAAGAATTTCAGCCACAAATCAAGCAAATTACCCAGAGCTAGGGAGCCAGACGTAACATATTCATATGGAATTGTATTAACAGATATAGAAGAAGGTACAAATGATGTAAGAAAAGTGGGAAACCATAAGTAGAGTGAATACTCAAGAGACAACGAGCCATAAGAAATATATTGATGTGGAAAAACATGAACAACTATGGAAGAAATAGCAAAAAAAAGGAAGGAAGAATTGAAACTATAAAGAGGTACAAGAACTTATAAAATCACCACAAGACAGAGATAATACAGCCAACACAATACTGGAAATAATAGACACACATAGAAATCTAGAGTATCAAGACAGAAGTGGCAGAAGTTACCAATATGCTGGAAGGAAAAAAGAATAGATCAGAAGAGATGGAACCAAGAGTCAGTAAAGTGGAAGAAATAACCTCAATGGGAGCATAGTAGAAGAAAAAACAGAGAGGAGACAAAAGGAAGATTAAGAAAACATTAGAATTATGTGGGAGAACATCCAAATGAACAACATACACATGGTTGGAATTTCAGAACAGGAGGCAGACAGGAAAAACATTGAGAAAAATTGTAGAACACGTATTAGAAGAAAATCCCAGATTTCATAAAGAACAAGGAAATGCACATCCAAGAAGCTCAGCAATTCCCAAACGACTAGACCCCAAAAGAAAAACACTAGGACATATCACAATAAAATTCTCCAAAATAAAAGATAAAGATAGAATGCTAAAAGCAGCTTGAGAAAAACCAAGAGTCATCTACAAAGGAGAATCAATTACATTAAGTTCTAGTTTTCCAGCAGAAACCACGAGAGAAAGAAGATAACAGAATGACATACACAGTAGGCTGAAAGAAAAGAATTGCCAGCCAGGGTCCTGTACTTATCAAAGCTGCCCATCAAACATGAAGGAGAAATTAAATCATTTGCATAAAAGACCTTTAAAGAATTTGTGAAAACAAGACAACTCTGGAATAAATTCTAAGAGAAGTCCTTCACACTAAGATTCCAGAAGAATATGGATGAAGCATAGTAACCAGAAACAACAGAAAAAGAAAAGAAATACAACAAAATGACAGTGATAAAACCTGGTCTGTTAATGATCACACTTAACATGAATTGCTTGGATGCACCATTTAGGAGAAAAAGAGTAGCAGAATGAGTAAAAAACCAAATTGCATTAACAGGTTGCCTACAAGAAACAGAGAGGTGTATGTGTTTGTATGTGTGTGTGCGTGTTAATTATGAGTCGTACAATTTGATTGTTGTAGACTGAGGGAAATGGGAAGGAACTGGTGTGAAAAACAATGTATTCAAATTTTGTTAATATACTAATTTTTTTTAAAAAGGAAGAAAATAAATCTAAGAAATAAGGAAGAAGGTATACTAAATATTAAAGGCTGGAAAAAAATATACCAAGCAAATGGCATCCACACAAAAGCCAGGAATGGAAATACTAATCTCTGATAAAATAGACTTCAGGATCAAAATCATCATAAAATATAAGGAATGACACTTATAGAGTGATTAAGTGATAATAGTCAAGAAGATATGTCTTGGTCATCATCATGTACCAAATTATAGACCTACAAAATACATAAAACAAAGATTAACAGATTTTAAGGAAGAAATAGCACCACAATAGTGATAGAACACTTTAGCACAACACTCTCATCAAAGAATAATTCAACTCAAACTTAAGAAAGATGCAGAAAATCTAAACTATGCAATTAGCCAACTCAGTATTGTGAATGTATTCAGGGTAGTGCACAAAACTGAAACTTAATGTACTGTCTTCTAACATGTACGTAATACATTATCCAGAATTGTTTACATACTAGGACACAATGCAAGCCACAACAAATTTTTTTAAAAACCCATTTAAATAATACAATATTGTAAAAATAGAAGGATAACTAGCAGGATATGTATGGATATCTAGAGAGGGAAGAAGAAGGGGAGGGAGGGCTGAAGGAAGGCACAGAGGGACATCACGAGGCCACAGACTTTAGTGAGTACAGAGAGGGGGTGAAGAAATTACAAAAAATCTAATAAGAATCTGAAAAGTTAGCATGATATTGGGTATAGATTAATGGTAATTAATTTTATAAGAGTCAATGTATGGGAATTATTGTTAAAAAAAAAAAACCCCAAACACCTCAAACCACAAAGTGAACAAAAAACCCCCCAAACAATAAACCATGAAGACACAAAAATCTCCAGATCCTTGGCAGGTCTTCTTCTGCTCTCCACACTTTTGCTGGAGAATTTTATTTCTGATGCTATGGAATATGCAATCTCTGTCCTGGCATTTCCAGGGTGTAATGACGTCAGAAAGACGTTCTCAGTTTGCTGACTGAAAAGCATTCTGTTTTGAGTCTTACTCAGTTGCCCTGGTTTTGAGAATTTCCTGCCTGTTTATGTAGAGTCTATTCTCATAGGAGCAAGTGCAGAAAGTATTCCCTCACCCAGAGAGTCACCCTCAGCGGGTGATCATGAAGCCATCCTGGCCATTGATTGATACCAATAGATCATGTGGCACTTTTCTATTCATAAGAGCCTCAGTAGGAAAAACAGGATATATTAAGGATTCATAAAAAACCACTGCAAATGTTTCCTTTCTATTAAGGAGACAGTCTTAGCCAAAGAAATTGAAGGTCAAACAGTTGAATGGAAACTCACCAAGTTTTCCGCTGGCAGGAGCTGAAAAAAAGTTAAAAATAAAAACATGAATAATTAAAGAGCCTGAAATGGCATAAAAATAAGGATATTTGACTTTTAAATGGCAATGACTAATTTTCCATTTATCAATTATTTCTTTCACAGATAGATTAATGTCTAAAACAGAACAAATATTTAAAACCTTTGAGACATTTTTGCTTGAATTTCTAAGTGAACAATGGAATCTGCATTAAGAAGTGTCAGGTGAGAGAAATGTGAAGCAAAGTAATAAAATTATAATATAAGGTTTAGGGGCAATCATGGGGGGTATATAGAGTACTTGAGGCAGAAGGGCCACTCAGCCCAGTGTGTGTGTGATGAAGAGTGTAAAGTATGTCATGGAAGGTGTCCAAAGTAAATGATGGTTGAGAAAGCGGTGAATGGGAGCATAAGATCAACCAGACAAATGTTACTATTTAAATGTGGCAAGAGGTGGTATAGAGGGTGTTCAGGTATAAATGGAACCAGGTCAGAATTTGTTAGATTCCTTAGAGTCAAGTATAACTCATAAGAATCTGTCCTATCCTGTGCTTTCCTTACAATCTCTGATACACTTGAGACCATTGCTGTAACGATCATGTCAATTCACTTTGTTGGGAGTCTTCCTCTTTTTTGCCAATCCTCAGCCTTTCCAAGTATGATAGATCTTTCCAAGAATTGACCTCTCCTAACTACTTTCCCTAGACCTGTAACCCAAAGCCTCACCATCCTTGCTTCTAGGTGCACACTGGTTGCGCTTTCCCCAAGACGTATCTGTTCATATTTTTGGCAATCCAGGGGATTTTTAGTGCTATTTTCCAACAGTATACTGAAAGGCATCAATTCTGCTTCTGTCATCCTTACTCATTGTTTAGCTCTCAGGTGCATAACAAATAATAGAAAAGACCGTGGCCTGAATCAGACACACATTAGCCTTCAAACTGACATCATTGTTCTTTAGTACTTTGGAGAGGTCTCTGGCAGTGAACTTGTCCAAAGCAATGTGTCTCCTCATCTCCTGACTGCTAGTACCAAGACTGATAATTTTGCCTACAAGTAAGATGAAGTAATTAACCATTTCAATGCTTTCTCTACGTACAATGATGTTGCTTATTGGCCCAGTGGTAAACAGCTTTGTTTTTTGTTTTGGTTTTATTTTTTTTTTCTATTGACATGTAATCATTATTAAAGGATGTAGTATTTGATCTTCTTCAACAAGGTTTCAGATTCTATGCACTTTCAACAAACAAGGTTGAGCCATCCAGATAACACAGGTTGTTCATGAATTGCCATAAAATCAACTCTGATTCATAACAACCCAGTGCGTAGGATAGATATGGCACTACAAACTCCATCTTTATTACTAACTCTATGAGAAGAGTCAGAATAAATTCATTACACAGAAAAATATATGCAGGATTTTACTTTTCTATATCCTCAAACTCACCAATCACTTCATGATATTTCCTCTCTGAGTCTAACCACTGAGCGTTAAGACAGACTTTATTGCTGGCCATGTTGGGGTCAGATCCTCAGAAACCAGCAGTAGCGCCAGAATTCTTGAAAACTCCCTGTATTTCATATGAGAATTTTGTTCCCTCTTTTTCTCACTAGCTCTCTCAACAGGCAAAGAATGACTATATTCTTCTTTTTTTGACTCTCCCTGAAGTCTTTCTGTCACCCAGCTGCCCAAATTTGGGTAATCACAAAATCAACTCTGTCCATACATTTTCAATCCATGTGCAGAACTGATCATTCAGGAGGTTCATGTTTATAAGGAAGAATGTAGCATCAGAATTAGAAGAAGTCTAATCAACAACTTGTGCTATGCAGACAACACAATCTTATTCACTGAAACTGAGGAGAACCTGAAGCATCTGCTGCCGAAAATTAAGTACACAATCTTCAACATGAAAGAAAGCTTAACATTAAGAAAACAAAAATTCTCACCACTGGGTCAAATTGACAGAACCATCATAGGTGGAGAAGAGATTGAGATTGTTAACAATTTCAGCTTGCTCATGTCCACAATCAACATTCTTGGAACTGGCAGCTAAGAAGTCAAAAGACAAATTGAATTGGGAAAGTCTGCTACAAGGGAGCTCTCCACTGTGCTGAATTGCAAAGATATCAGTCTAGAGACTAAGGTGCACCTGATCTAGGCCATGTTCTTCACAATTACTTGCTATGTGTCAGAGAGCCGGACAATGAATAAAGATGACAGAAGAAGAGTTGATGCCTTTGAGTTGTGGTGCTAAAGAAGAGTATTGAACATATCATGGACCACCAAGAGAACAAACATATCTATCCCGGAGAGGGTGAAACAAAGTTACTCTTTGGAGGGAAGGATTTTGAAACCCCATCTCACATAACTTAGAGCATGTTGCCAAAAGGGGCTTCTCCTTGGATAAGATCATTCTTGGAAGGGTGAAGGGGACATCACAAGAGAGGAAGACCCTGGATAAGATGGATTGACTTAGTGACTGGGACAATGGGGGTAGATGTGTCAAAGATAAATTGTCTCAAGATACAGCAGGTTTCAGAGCTGTTATAAATAAGGTTGCTGTGAATTGCAAGCTACTCAATGACATATAACAATAGTAACATCTGTTTATGTGCTGTGGAGTTGGAACATATTTACAGCTGACCCTCCAGTGGGTAAGAGGCATTAAATCACATGGAAGGAGACTGCTCATCCATATTCTGTGAAGCAGCTGTTAGACTCAAACCTCGTGTCTTTGAGTTAACAGTAAAGTTCCTTATCACTAGGCCACCAGAGACCCCTTATATTTAATTATTATTTTATTTTTTAAATAGGAAGAAATAATCCTCTAATTTATTACAAATTCTAGGAGCTATTCTCAGAACCAGAAACAAGAGTTAAAATTCTTTGCCTCAAAGCAGTACTGCATTTTGTAGGATTTTAAAGACTGTCACTTTTGGAAGCAGATTTGCAAGGCTTTCTTCTTCTAAAGGGATTCAGGGTGGGTTCAAACTACCAGCCTTTAGGTTAGTGGTTGATCAGTCAACATTTGCACCACCTACAAACTCCAGAAATGGAATAGAAGTGAGGAAATTATATTGATGTTTAGGAATTGGGAAGAATGACAAAGGAAGTAAGATTAGATAAGTGTGCAGGGCACAAATCATGGTGACAAGTGGATCAAGTTTATTATAAAACCAATAGGGAGCCATAAAAACTTTCAAGCAGGAGATTGATAAAATTGTGATTTGTCATTTACATGGAATATTCTTACAAGGGACATTCATTATCTGAATCAAAGAGACTTGCAACAAGATATAACAAGAAATAATGGTATTTTCTTTTCTTCAATGTTTATATAAAGTTATTTAAATTATTTATTTGTTTCTTGGCTCTTTTCTCTCTCTATGGAAGCACTCTAAGAATAGGCCCTTCTCTTGTATTCACAGATTCTAGTGCTGGTCCTAGCATATCCATAACTATTTATGAAAAACAAATTGGTCTAAAATCCAGATCAATGATAGTAGAGACAGGAGAATAAGGGTTTGTAAAATAGTTAATGGGAAGTAAATGGAAGCAAAATTGGAAAAAAAGAGATAATTTGATTTGTTTATCCAAAAGAAATTTTTGTAATCCAGCCACCACATAAAGTGAGTAAAGCAATGGAAATTCAGCAGTGAGTAAAAGGAACACTATACCTGCCTTTGTGGAATCGAATGAAGGAATTATTCAAAAACAAGTGCTTTGTAAAAAAAACCAACATATTGGTCTCCATTACCTAAATAGCTTGGTCACTGTGACCTTTATGTTTTATTAAATGTAGCTAATATTTTTCTTACAGTTTTTTTTCTTACAGTTTTTATATTAAAGCATTCATATGTATTATTTCATATAATCTTGTCAACAACTTTATGAAGTAAATACTATGATTATTCCCATTTTACAGACTAAACCTCTTGCTGTTAAGTACTATAGAGTAGATGATGACTATTGCAACTCTATGAATAACGGATCTGCATCTTTCCCTATTCTGTGCTGTCCTGACAATGTCTAATACACTCGAGATCATTGGTATAGTCACTGTGTCAATCATCTTATTAAGGGTCTTCCTCTCTTTCTCTGACCCTCAACCTTCCCCAATATGATATCTTTTTCCAAAGACTAGTCCTTTCTAACAATGTGCTAAAAGTAGATCAGATCTTACCATCCTTGGCTCTAAGGAACAACCTAGTTGCATTTAATTCAAGACAGATTTCTTTGTTGTTTTGGCAGTCTATGGGATATTTAGACCAGATTCACGTAGTTGAAGTATCTACTAAATGACAGCATGGAATTTTGAATCTATATAGTTTTTCATCCCAAAATTTCAGGCCCCTGTAATTCTATGTGAAATGTTCTTCCTCTCTCTGGAAGAGTAAATGAACCTTAACAGCACTAGAATCCATTTTGCTTACATAATTCTCTACACTATCACTGGTCTCTGCTAGCTTCTTGTTATATAGTCTGTTATATACCTGGACCATCTGTTAGTAGGTTTGCCCAAACACATACACAAGCAAAAACCCCAAATCAAACAAATGAATGAAAAGTGCTGCAGTGAGTGGATATTGATTTATGATAGTATTGTTACTGAGCTCCATAGAGTTTTCTTGGTGATAATCTCTACCAAAGCAGATCACCATTTCTTTCCTCCAAACTGTTACTGGGAGGGCTTGAGCTAGTAAACTTTTGGTTAAGAATCAAGCTTAAATAATTTGTACCATCTTTCTTTTTCCCATTAACATCAAATCAGAACCAACTCATAGCTGGACCTAGGTTTGAACCTATAGATCAAACACACAATTTATCTTTTCTCCTTAGAGAAACACTGTTTTTGATTGGCAGCACAGCTCCCAATGTACTAGGCAGGCCACAAGACTTACCTTGGACACTATTTAACTGGGGTTTTGTTACACATCTATTTCTTGGACATTGACCTTCTTAGAGTCCTTCTGTATTTTGAGCGTGTTATTTACAGCCTACTATTAATAGTGGAACAGTAGAGGAAAGCAGAGAGTTATAGTAGTGATAGTAGAGCCCAGATAGCAAGTCAGCTGAAATTAGGAAAAATAATGGCAAACAACAAACACCTTGAATACTAGAAAATTAGAAGTTGTGAAAAATGAAATTAAATTCATGAACGTCAGCATATTAGGCATTAATGAGATGAGATGGACTAGCTTTGGCCACTTTGCATCAGTTAATCATATGGTTGTTGTTATGTGCCATCGAATCGCCTGCGACTCATACTATGGAAATGAAAAACAGGAGAATTATTTTTAATTCATAGTAAAAGAGTCCATTTCAAGTTATATCCTGAAATACAATTTGTGAGTAATAGAATATTATTCATATACATACAAACAAGACTTGTTAACACACATATTATTCAAATACATGCTCCAACATCTAGAACCAAAGACTAACAAATTGAAAATTTTCACCAAATCTTGCAGCCCCAAATTGACCAAACAAGCAATCAAGATGCATTAACAATAATTGGTGACTGAAATGCAAAAGTTGGAAACAGTGAAGAAGGACTAGTAGTTGAAAAATAGGGACTTGGTGATAAATGAGGCTGGAAATAAAATGATAGAATTTTGTATTTTCAATGATCTATTCATTGCAAATGCCTTTTTAAAAATACAAAACTGATGACTTTGCACACAGACCTTATCTGATGAGCTGCATAGGAAATAAATTGACTATGTCTGTGGAAAGGGTCCTTGGAGAGGCTCAATATTGGCAGTTAATACTGAGCCAGGGGAGGACTATAGTCCAGATCATCAATTATTCCTGTGCAAGTTCAAATAGAGGCCAAAGAAAATAAGTCTATGAAAATGAAAATAGGATCTTGAATCTATTCCGTCTGAATTTCAAAATCATCTTAACAATGTTGTTGTTGTTGTGTGCCATTGAGTCGCCAGCAATCCCTAGTGACCCTACGTACAGCAGCTCTGAATCCTGCCCTGTCCTGAGCCAGTCTCACTAATTCTGACACATCAATCCCCATTGCCCCAGTCACTGTAGCAAGTCATCTCATCTGGGGTCTTCCTCTCCTGCTCTGTCCATCCACCCTTCTAAGCATGATGTCCTTCTCCAAGGACCGATTTCTCCTGGCCACCTGCCCAAAGAAGGTGAGATGAAGCTTCACAATCCTAGCCTCCAAGGAGAGACTTAGTTTTACCCTCTCCAAACAGACCTATTTGTTTTCTTGGCAGTTTATGAAATATCCAAGATTCTTTTCCAGCACCATATTTTGAAGGCATCGATTCTTCTTCTGTCATCTTTAATCATTGTCCAGCTCTCTGATGCATAGCAAGTAATTTCGAAGACCATGGCCTGGATTAGGTATACCTTAGTCTCTTGACTGACATCCTTGTTTTCCATTACTCCGGAGAAGTCCCTGACAGCAGATTTTCCCAATGCAATCCCTCTTTTGATTTTCTGACTACTGGAGTTAAGAGTGTTGATTGTGGAGCCGAGCAAGTTGTA